ACCGACGAACCGAGCCGGCGCTCCGTGGCGGTGAAGATCAAATGGCCCGAGGGCGTCGGAGGGAGGATGAAGGACCTGGGAGGGCGCGGCGGTTTTTGGGGCTTTTTGGTTTGGGTGTATACCTAGCACTTCCGGTGCCCAATGGAGACCTGTAGGTAGGGCAGGGTTGTCCATTCATGACTCGTTGGAAGCACCTGGTACTATTGTTTTTTTCTTTTTCGGTGGACTTGAAAACGGTCGTTTGGGCCGTAAGTTTATGTGACTTTACAAAATGGATTTGAATGAGTTTCAATGTATTTAAGATTTACTCATCTTGATAGGTGGCGTGTCATTTCTGACACTAAAAAAAGGTAGCAGCTGAGCATCAGAAGTAACTTATACTACTACACAGTGGTTTCCCGGAGACTTTTGCCCAGGTGCCTCAGGAAACTCAAAAGATTCTGAGACACCAATCTGTTCAACATGGACTGTGTAAACCAGTGCATTCTATTCCAATCGTGTTGTGCTTTTTGCCAAACAAGCAAATTCATTGTTGGACACCCTCCGATCGTGCTGGATGACTGCGGATGACTGCTTGGCTTCACTGGAATTCATGGCATCTGTCTCAAAAAGGTACGTTGGTCCACAATTCACGATGGTTTGCTTCCTGTGCATTCTTCAATTTTTAGACACACCGGTCAAGGAGCTTTTGACCTTGCCATGATGACGACATAACTCTCCGACTCGGTCCCCGCCGCACCACCCGGGATGCCCACTGGGCCGAACCCTCCACACACCAAACGCGGTACCTCGGCGGAAACGAGGGCAGGTGATCCAACCGGGATGTGTCTTCTTTGCCAACAAACAAAATAGAAAAACTGTTTGGGGAGAACCCTCCGTGGTTTGACATGATAAATCTCAGGAGAAAACCCTACTTCTTTTCGGCACGTCCGCAAATATCCTGTGACATGCAGTCAAACATATTCTGACATCATGCATGCATCAAATACTGATATGTCTAACTCTGACTGTCTGACAAAAGTCTCCAAAAGCCACCTTCGGCAGGTTGCGCAACAGGTCGAGGTCACCTTCCGTTCGCACTGAGGCCGTCGCTGCTGCGAAGGCTTCACGAACCTCGGGAGTCAAAGCCCGAGCTTCGACCTTCGACCGGTCGACTTTGGGGCTGAAAAGGATTAGCTTTGGAGGCTGCTAGTGGTAATGGCCTCCACCCTAGCTTCTTGTTACTAGCGATGCCCTGCGAAAATGGATGGACAAGAGTATACGAGCGCACAAAGATTAAAAAAACATTTAAAAACCCTGACCCGCAGAAACTTCCTGAAGCAATGAATGAATGAATGTGCGGAATGTGCATCGAATCCTTCTCTGCCTGAAATGGATCTGCAAAACACCTCAATGCCCTGACCCAAGGGATTAATTAGTTGTATATATAAAGAGCCTGCAAGAGCGCATCATGTTGTTCACTTGTGGGGCATGCACTGATTGAGTGCCTGGAGCGGCACTTCAGCAAGTTCAGCCCACACCCGCTCCATCAGCCCTGGACAGTTTTCAGGAGCGGCTTAGTAACAAGTGCATCGCTTCTAGTAACAAGTGCCTTACTAGTAGTAACAAGAAGCTACTAGGAACAAGTGCCTTACTACTAGTAACAATAAGAATTTCATTGATGTGACCTGTGAACATTGTTACTAGTAGCGTGGCACCTGTTACTACTATCCATCGGAGCACTTTCACCGTGGTGTTCTTTGGCTTGGCCGCATGGACATGACCCCACTGACAAGGGGAACCCCATCCAGTCTTCCGTTGCGCGACATGTCCTCGCAGGCTCGACCTGTTCCGTTGAATCGAAGTGATGGACGCTTCCGGCCGATTGGTTGCTGCTTCCGAGCTGAGCCTGGGCGGTATATTTTTATGGTTTGTCAGCACTTTGAGAGTGAAAGACCCTCTCAAAAGAATAGTCTGACTCTTGCGGAACTGATTTCGGGAATTGGCCGAATCCTTCCCTGTTCCGAATCCTTCTCATGCCAACGGACTCCAATTCCGTGCCGAAAGGGTCCGAAAGAACGCGCGGTCCAAGTGCTGCCAGGTCACGTCTTGAAGTAGATCTCCACGAAGTTCTGCCCGGGCCTCGCCCAGCAGGTCCAGCGGTGTTTTGAAGGCTTAGACCCGCAGCACTTGAATGACTATGTAAAGAAGTGGTTGACCTTGGCTTTGTAGTGTAAAACCCATAATAAAACAATGGTTGTTTGGCAAAACCTATTAAATCCTAGGCTACTGGTTCCAGGCTGGCATGCTTGCCGAAGAACCCCCACAAAATCATAAAACATCCTAACACAATTCCTAACATTTGACACCCTGTGAAAGGAGAGGTGCTTATGCCTCGTAGTTGCTGGACCCATGAGATGTGGATTTCCTAGGTTGCTGTACCGGCCCGGAAACCTGGAAACTAAAAATACATATAACGAGATGCCATGCCATGACACTTGGAATCATTGAGCCGGACCAAGGTTCCGGAAATATGTTGCCCTTTTTCATCTGCCCCCCAAACCCTTTGCCGTTCAGTGGCTGGGTATCGTCCGTTGCTTCCCCTTGGCCCACGCCCACAGGGAAGAGGCCTTAGAGGGGATGAAGGTGAAGGCTTTCCAAAAGGTCAGCACTGGACCAAGTAGATCCCATCGGAAAAGGACATGGTGGATATCAATAATGATAGTAATGAAGGATAGCATGACCGACTACCACAATATCAAGGTGTGAGCTGGTGTTTGGACGTGCTGGCACATTGATGGTGGTGGTTACAGCCGTTGGACAAATCAAAGGTGGACGCGTCCACGGTGGGTCACTGTTGCCTCTGAAGGCAGCGCTCGGCCCCCGGGAGAAAATAGATCACACTGAAAGTGCTCTGAAGTTCACCAAAACACTTCGATGTCTCACATGTCACCGAACATGTTGAAATGCAGCAAGCGCTTAATGGGAAAGCATTGCCTTGTTTCCTCTGCACTTAGGCTGCTTTTGCGCTATATATTTCGGAACGCCGGAACCTCATGTCAATAAACCCGCGCGACCAAACCCACTCAAACAACATCTGTAAAAGCTGACCACTGGTTGACCCGAATCCTTAGCCTTTGTGGGCAGACTTGGCTCATACTCATCCAGCAAGAAAACTACATTGCTGGTAAGGCCTTGAACCTGAAGCATGCCAGTCTCTGAACATCTCTCAGCACGGTGCTACACGATAAGCATTATCCGATCTTGAAGTGAAGCTAGTTAAGTTGAGACTTATGGGAAAGCACCGTGCAAGACGGGTACTTCGGAGGCCGCAGATTAGAGCTTCCAATGACTTCAAGGAAATGATCATGCTTGAACTGACCTATATATTGACAACTGCGCTATGGACTTCCGGGGCCTCATGCGCAGCCATTAGAATGCTTGTTAATTACGCTATTGGCCAAAAGAAATAGCCACTGAGGCTATTGGCGCGAATCAAAGCCGTTGCCAAGGCTTTGTGCCCGAACAACGAACCCAAGCAGGTTTAAGCAACCTGGTAAATCTAAAAGAAAAGACCCACCACGAACATGCGATGTTCTGCTTCACTTCGTACTTTCAAGCAAGTCTGCTATGCTGTAGCCAGGTCTGCTCCAAAACCGCTCCCAATGTTACATGTATAGTCCAGTGAAAAGCTTGCAAAAGTAATGTTTGGAGAGACCTCCTCCCACGGCTGGCAAAACAAACATTCCTCTTTGAATTGGCTCAACCCTGTTCAGTTCTGCCATTCACAAGATTTAAGCAGGAAGCTGGTCCAATCTAGTCCAAATTCCAGCCAACTAAAGTTGTGAGTCAAGTCTCTGGTGACTCAAATTTCTCACGTCACTCACGGCTCTGCTGGGCTCATGTTGTAGTAGTTGTCGCAGAGTTGTCGAGGAAGGTGGCATTTGCATCCGAGATGAAGCGTGCCACAGCCCTACTACATGGAGCTGGTTGGACATCATTCCCGGTACTGACTCACCCATCTTTCACGTACAGGGACCGCTGGGCTTCACACGAGGAAGCTCTTGACCAACGAAGTCCCGACTGACATTCCGCGGTGATTGTGGCGCTGCGTCTTCACAAGGAACGACGTTCTCCGGCTTTGGCTTTTTGTCATCATCTAAGATCTTCACCCACGCCCACCAAGGAAGTTCTGTGTTCGCCTTCATCTTTTTTCCTGGGGTAATCCAGAAAAACTATCTCCACCGAAGCTGGCCGAGACATGCGGTCCCATGTGGCAAAGGTTCTAGCTTGCTTCAGGTGCTTTAGGTCCATTTTAGGTGAAATCACACGAAAACGAGAAGTCTCCGTGCTTCAATTGCATTGCATCAGCGTCGAGCCCTCGCCTTCCTTGCAGGTCTCCTCCGGCAACATCTGAGAAATCACCATGCCGACCAAGAACGTTGAGAACGTCAAACGTCGCATGATGAGATCTGTGCACAATTCTACGGTCTAACTCTCAAGCCGTGAATGCTAACTGAGTCCCGACCTATACTTTCTGCAAGTGCCACTCACAGCGCTTCAACCAAGCATATTCGGGATGTGAAAAAAGCTTGCCAGGGGGTCTGTTGCTAGCACTTTGGGTGTGGTTGATGAAACAACAAGTAGATTGGATTGCGTCCACGTACAATCAAGTGGGAGTATACGTCACAGCTGGTAAGTGAACATCCAGAAACCCTAAGAACCCAAAACCTGATCAAGGTGAAAAGGACAGCCAGGTTACGGCTATAGGCTGGAAGAGTCTTTTGAGAGGTTCTTCAAGCTTCAAGAATAGTCACAACCTGCCAGTAGGGCAAGGGGCAAGGAGCCCTTAGAAGAGATCAGATCTCACATGCCCCAAGTGTGGCAGATCGACTGTTGTCCCTCTTGGTGGATGATCTTCGGCGCACCAGGGTGTACAACCAAGTGACCCGGTTCAAATATGCAACAAACATCCACCACTGATGAAGGAATTTTTGCATGACGCGTGAGTTCAAGCCGTTGCAGACGCATGTGTGTGCGCGTGTTGTCTAAAACCACGCTTCCCACATCTCCCCACTCTACCAGTCGGACGGTCCCTTTTGGCACTCGCCCGAGACGATCCGAGAGGATCCGTCGGAGTCCGTCCGAGGACGACCGGTCAGTCACGAGTCAATGAACGAAGCGTTGAACGAGGCAACATGGTTTCACATGATCATTTAAATTCATTTAGTGTCTTGATAGACATCAATTGTTCGACCTGCTCTGAGGCAAGAGTTGATGTCTAGATTTCGGAGGCTCTCCGGCTCATTTCACCTTGGTGCTGTACTTCGCTTGCCACTCCGTCAGCACTCGCTTCATGGAGCGGTTCAGCTTCACCACTTTGCGCTTCTGCTTGATGGCAAGAAACGCATCCTGTGCACAGACAGATTGTTCAACGCATCATCCACGGTCACTGGCCAAGACCGTCAAGACCCGGATGAACCAAGACCAAGACCAAGATGAAGCAAATTGACACAAATTGACCATGGGGACGATGGGGGAGGTCCAGCTGCTTTTGGGATCCTTGGTATCTTAATATCTTGCTATTGGCTCGTGACACGCTCGTGCAAATCTAATTAGTTGAAGCTCCCCTCGTGGTGTTGACCCAAATAAAATGGGCAGGTTCCATCGCCGACATCTCCAGCCTCCCTCAACGCATCCAAGGGGTGAGAAACTTCCACAAGTGGCATGTTGTGTCTCCCAACTCCATCACTCCCCCACCCAACCACTCCATGGGGTGGCACATATGTATGCCATTGTATGCCATGCCCGGTGGCTTGGCGAAACGCCGTCCCGGCGGTCGACGTCCCGTCCTCCCAGGTCGGATACCGCCCTGCACGGACCAGGCATGCGCACAGTGTGGTGGTCGATCGGCCACGGCCATGGGCACAGTGAACTAAGACGTCACCTGGTCACCGACTCGTCACCGGTCTGAGGTCGGAGCTTAAGCCAGATGGTGCTGGTGTTCAAAAGAAGCCATAGCTAGTGTTGTATTGGTTTTTCAGCACAAGCAAGCTATAGCTATATAGAGATTCCTTCAACCTGCAAAATGATGAACTTCGCAATCAAAAAGCCGTGCAGGGGTGACATTGAGAAGTGATTGGTAGTCCGACGAAGGCCGCGCTTTTCTGACGACCTCCTCGGCCATCGCCACCGAGCAGCCTCGTTCATGTTGCGCCACGGCAAACTGTGCAGCTTCCTCGAGCTGCTCCACTGTGGGAGGGACCCCATCCCAGCACTCAACGAGCAAGTACTTGTCCTGAAAATGGCAAGTACACGGTTTAGGCTGTTTATGTCATTCAATCATTCATAGTGTTTGCAGGGTCGTGGTTTTGCCTCAAGGGTTGAATTTCAGACTTCGATTCTTGTCTTAGCGGCTCATCGCACCCCGTGGAGCCAAGGTAAAAGTGCCGAAAATGCATCTAGAAATGAAGAGGATACACCTGAGCCCAGATCGGTTTCTTGTTCTATACAATAATATTATGTAATTTTGTCATGCTGGAAACTTCAGATTCTCTTGGAGTCCCTAATTTCACTGGGAACGAGAGAGAAGACGACCAAAAATGACACTCTGGCTCATGGTCGTCCGCAATCGGGGTGTCTATCTGTCAGACGAGAGCCGCCCCCCCCCAAAAAAATGTACGTCACAGCAGCAACCTACTAGCCGTCGCAGCAAAGTAGAAGCGTTTGCCATGTAAGTCACATCAATGTAAGTCACTAGCGTAGCACCGCTAGCCATAAAATGTCAATCCTTTACATCAGGGGAAGTCCCGTTCCATGGATCTTCCTGTTCCTTCGGTTCACCCTTCGGACAGCCTTCCCAAGACCGACCTGGATGCTCAGCTCGGGGAACTCACAGGTCAAGTCCTTGGTCCACCGGTGTCACCAGTCGGTCCCCCTGGTGTCAACGGTTTGAAGCCGGTTTGTCATCGGGGATGGCTCCAGAGTTGCTTGGACGGATGTGTTCCTATCGAAGTGAGCAAGAAGTCAGTCACGTTGAACTTTGAACCAATGGATGCATTCAAAAAGACATTTAAGAAGTAGAAACGCGTCCCCAAAGATGCGATGGTTGAATCTTGCGAAGTTGGCACTTTCAAGAAAAACCATCCGAAGGAAACATGTTCAAAAGCTTCGATGCAGTTTAGCTCTGACCAATACGTCCAAGCTTCGATGGTCCCTGCCCATCGCCTGCCGAGCTCATGGCTGTAGCGGCCACCCACCCACCAGCCTGGATCAACTTCATCTGCTGGTGCCACTCCGGACTTCTGGTCTCGCGCGTGCTGGATTTTGGTGTAGACCAGCGTTGGACAGTGGAAGCCTGGATAGAAACGTGTATTTCTGCCCATTCACCATACAGCATACTGTTCAATCGCAGCTGAAGTGGACCTTGGCCTTAACACAAACAGAAGTCAAACTTTGACATGGTTTTACTCTCTCTCTCTCTCTCTCTTCTTTAGTCACTCGCAAGGTTCCACAATGTCCGTCTGTTTCTTCGTACATTCTTTCAGATTGTTTCATCTGGTTGACATTCTTCAAATTTCCGTAGTCTATCTGTTCCAAGCAAAATGTGTCGTACAATCCGTGTCCAAACTCCAACCAAATCGACAGCTACCTCGCCTGAGAAAACCACATAAGACCAAAGTGGGATTGCACCCGTCGCAGTGTCCTGCAGCGCTGGAGCTGATGGCGTGTCCGCTCGTGTTTCTTCCATCACACCGATGGAACCATGGGGCACCTGTAAAGCGAATCAGCGTGATCCTCTCCAAAAGCCGACGAAACAGTCAGGGTGATCCCTGTTTCAGACTTGGCCGAGTCCGAGGCACTCAGAAAGATGCCAAAAAAGACGGGTCCGGTTTCGATTCGCCTGAAACAGAAGAAATACATGGGCAGAACTGCCAACCGTGACACCCTAAGACTCCATCCATGGTATGTCTTTGCTGGAAACCTACCCCACCAACAGCTTGAAGATGTCCGGAACTCCCAATGGGTTTTGATCCCACGTTTGTCGGTACACCAACGTCTGACCGTTTGTGCATGTCAAGTGTCATGGCAAAGGCTGGCTTGGCTTGTTTCCTTGACTTTTCCCAAAACAAATCATGTCAGACGAAGCGTGTATCGAAGTACCATGAACTACCTCCACAAGTTGCCCCGGAAAGGTCCACGGCAACAGCGTGGAAAACGCCGTCAACCGCCGTGTCAAAGGGTTGGCAAAAGCCCACTGGCAGCGTCCAGAGGGAAGCCCGGGGACGCTTGGACGCTTCCTTCTGGCAGCAAGGCAAGCACTACAAACAATGCCCCCTCCACATGACAAGTCTCATTCAAAGCCATGCATATATATATATATAATAGATGTATTTATACCTGGACCCTCCAACAGGATCCAACAGGTGCTTCCTGGTGACAACAGGTGCCCAGGTTCACCTGTTAGGGTCTCCAAACAGGACGCTTCGCCCCGTCCCTTCTCGGGCGCGGCGACGCGGAAACGCCACGCCTTCCCCAAGATGCCCATGCCGAGCTTGAGATTGAAGAGCATGGCAATGACCAAGTTGATGATGCTCACATTGTACAAATACCTCGAGGAAACCGTCTGAACCCGCTTGAAAACACGAAGCCAGACACAGAGGAGACCACACGACGACTCGAAGACGCTGATATGCGCGAAGAAACGCAAAGAGGCTGGTGGATGTGAATGGATCTGCATCCCAAATCCCAAATCTAAGCAAAGCCCAAAGGTTTTGCCCCTTCACTTCATCAACCAAACGACTTGAGAGGTGATATTCTTGGAATGATTCTGTTGTTCCTTGTGCCGTGGGTGCAACCCCACCCCATGACCCCCATGCAGCACTGAGACTCACGAGACCCACGATGGTTTTGGGTCGAACTGAGACCCGGTGTTGGTCTCCAAGTGAAATCAACCAAGCAAATCCAAGGAGCAGGCCGAACAGCAACTGCAAATTGTCCAACCTGCCGGGATCCGAAGCAGCGATGCCGGCCAGGTTGGGAGTGTGGTCGGCAGAACGGCCGATCAATTGGTGGTTTCTGCGGCAGGATGACCGGTCTCAATGATGATATACGTATAGTATATTAATATCAAGTGTACCTGGCTGCTAACCCCCCTCCAAGTATATGGTATCTTGCAAATGATCTGAAGAGCAACAGCCATGGATGAAAACGTGGCACACATGTTTCTCTGCAGCATGCCACTTCTAGGGTGGAAAAGTTGGGACAGTTCTGCCATGTTCACGAGTTGACTTCCGCATGCCATACATGCTCCCGAAAGAAAGGAGTTCACCCACCGAGAACGTGACCACTTTCCCATGGGGTGAAGTGCTTTCAGCAAAACATGAGCTTAGCAACACATGGAATCATCATTGAATCGTCATTCCCACAGCGATGTCCCCAACTCACCCGTGTCTCCGATCTCAAAACCCAAGGAACCCATTCAGCTCCACTTCTTCCTCAAAGATCAGCTCCTCCAATGCCACCGGCGTGATCCAGCGAGCCGTCAAAGCAGCAATGGAGCCAAAGGCCACATATTTCAAGGACACGCCATGCACCGCGCCCATGAGGAGCGGAGAGAGGAGAGGAGGAAAAGAAAGCGGCCGCGAAAGCGGCTCCCCAGCGGTGGTTTGGAGGCGAAGAAGAGTGAAAAAGGTGTGGAGATCCTCTTGCAAAGCAATATCCAAAGCGGGGCATAACAAGATTGACACAGGTGGTCGAGTCAACCCTTATCCAAGACGGGGCATCGCCGCAGCACAGTTGAGGGTCCTTTGTGTTTTTGGAAACCCAAATGGTGCTGATAGTAGACAGGTCCTTACGTGTGTGATTAGCTCTGAGTTTGTGCGTGCAAACACCAGAAAACAGAGTCTGATGCTATTCGTGGAGGGCATCATTGTAGCTGTCGTGGTTTGCTCCTGATTTGTGTAGGATTTCGCTTGTACAATGGCTCTCTGCATTCTGCAGCATCACTGCGGCGGGCGCAAGCGGCGCCAGATACGAGATGCTCCAACTTAGGAAGAATTGAATGTGAAAGAAAGACAAAGAGCCACTTCTAGCACCCCTCAAGAATCTTCAGTATTTTTAAGTATATAATATAGTTATTTAATATTCCTGCATTCAATACAAATCTACCCCTTCCGACGCCACCCACAATGACCCTTGTGACCCAGGTGCCCTTTTCTCAGCTCCCAAAAACAGATTCAGGAGTCGAAACGGCGAAGACTTGGCATATGAATTGTATGAATTAGCTTCTTGTTACTACTAGTAAGGCACTTGTTACTAGTAGCGTGGCACTTGTTACTACTAGCGTCTTGTTCCTAATGAGTCTGAGGGGTCCGACCGGATCCTTCATGATCCTACCAAATCTGTGGCGACGCATCGGTGACGTCGGTGACGCATCGGTGAGGGGCGCTGGCCATTCGCAATGTCTGCCCCAGAGGGCATGAAGGAAGGCTCGTACTCCGAGGTGGCCTCAGTCGGGGCGAGCTTGGACGCCACATGGACGCCAACGTGGCGTCTGCAACGGGGATGGTGATGCGGACCATTGCGGCATTTTTTAGGTGATAGATCATGATAGATTGTTTGGAGACGACTTAATCGAACCCAGGATCACCCAGGTACTCTAATATAAATACAATTAAGTGCTAATATGGTTGAAGTGTGTTTGCTTTACCACGAGTCTTTGTTCGATGTCCCCACAAGAGTTGCACCTACCTCACACACGTCCTCACGTCCTCGGTCGATCCTCAGGTTCGGCTCCCCTCGCTGTTCGGGCTCCAAGTCGCACAACGGATCCGGGAGTTGGTGCCCTCCAGAGCGGAGTGCACCTGCGCGACCGGATCTCCGTCACGGGGCCGACCACCAAGCGTACGAGGTGTTGGTCCATTTTCCCCTTCTTCCAGAGGATCAAACCGGGGTTTGAACATGCAAACCACTTGTGAAAAGCTAGTCTTCCAACCATAGAATCTCCACTCAGTTGCTAGGGGATTCTGAACCAAATCCGGCCTCAGTCAATAGAATTCGAATGAGTCAACAATCATAAGAAATCACCCGACCTCGTTTTATCCTTGGACGGCCCCGGGACACCGAACAGACCGACAGCTGGAGGTCCACCCGGATGCAAGAGGTGAATGAATGTGTTTCTCCGACCTCCGGGATGCAGGGGAAGGAAACATGACTAAACCATAACTAAACCTACACCAAATGCATCAAAATGCTATGTTGCCCCCATGTAGATGTCCCCAATTTCTGGCACTTCCAACGTGGCAGATCCCAACTCTCCCAAAGCAAGTCGGTGGGGTGGCCTAGGCCACCCCGCCTGGATGGTGATCGAGGCCACATTGGCCGAGAAAATGCTGAGATCCGACAAAGGATCCACCACCACCTCGGTGACGTGTCGAGCAGCTCGTGACGTGTCTGCTGAAAAGTTTCGTATTTTTAAGATCAGCAGCAGCAGCAGCAGCAGCCAAACACAGGCTCACCGTTTTGGGTCCTTTCCCAGTTTGGGATTCATATGAATCGAGCTTGCTTCAGCTGGTTTACTTTTGATTGAAGATCTTTTGAGTCATCATATCAGATGATTCTGAACCCCCACTCGACTCGACAACGCTCCAGCCCCCCATCTCAGACGCGGGGCCAGTTCGCCGGCTTGATGATTGAAGGTCCTGCGCAGAACATGCAGAAGACACTCAGCTCTTCAGGCAGCTGCTGATTTCAGAAAAACAATGAAAAACTTGTTTCCACAGGCCACAGCTATCCCATTTCTTGGGATGTTTGCCGTTGAGCATTGACATTTGGCCCGCTACTGCTCCCAAGAAATCTGCAGCCTCAGAAGCAGGGGCTTGACCTTGATCGATCATGTTCACCTGTATATACTACAATGTATGGATATAAAAATAATATGCCAAGATATGCCAAGATGTATAACTTATTGTACTTTATTATATATATATATACTTCTTTGCCTTGCAGGTCCCAACCGTCTCGACATGTCCCGACTCTCTTGTCTTGTCCGGTCCGGAACCGATCTTTACTGGGCTTCCGGGCTCTAAGGAATTGCAGGCCTCAAAACTCGCGCAGTAGCACACCTTGAAGGTCCCTTAGACCGCCGAGACTGGGGGGGGGGGGTGCGTTACGGCCTGACACGTGACATGGCTGGCGCGCTTTTCGAAAGAGAAGATAGTCCGCGGAATGAAGAGATCGAACAATTTGCGATTTCGAAGATTCGGGATACAACGAAGGGATGGGCCAAGAACCCTGTACATGCAAATAAAATGTATTGGTTCGTTTGAGAGAAGAGAGAAGAGACTCATGACATCTTGACATCTACGATCATCTGTGGGGTACCAGAGGTCAACTCAGCGATAGGCGAATTACTTTGACATCCTTCTTTGGGCAACAGACCCAAGGCACACGTCTGGACAAAATCATGATCGTTACCTGCCTGCTCCCTTGCAACGGATTGTCTGTTTCTTAGTGCTGACAATGTCATTCTCGACGGTGTTGGCAGTCGGCGAGCGTGTGTCTGCAACGGATCGTGGAGGGAGACACATGACACCGCGAACCAGGAACCTGGAGAGTGCATGGTCAAGCTACGGATCTCACACCCAGTGTCTGCGTTCTCAGACCCGTGGCATCAAGAAACTCCTCGATAACATCAATTTCAAGATATTTCAAGGTGCATGTGTCCGCTGAAAAAGATCACTGGGACTGGTACTCCACGAGACTCCCACTGAGACTCCCTTAGTTCCACTATTGGAACGACCCACAATACTTCGAGTCCTAAAGACGAAGACGTCGTCAACATCGCCGCCAAGATGCCGCCGGCAGTGACTTGCCCCAAAGAGAACCTCATCCAACACGCCAACACACGTGGTCTTGGGGGTTAGGGTCGGGTGACAAGTGTGGAACAAGCAGGGTGGAAGGAAGCGGATGGCAGTAGGGGGGGGTTGGGGTGAAATGTGCGTTGAAAGTTTTTGGGGTTTGCATTGCCACTCACCCTTGGCTGTGAATTGTATGGTGCATCAGCTGAAACTCTCAAAAAGCTGCAAGAGTCGTTCTCTTTCTCTCACATAATACTGCTTTGTGGATCCTCCTCGTTGAAAGTACTAGCAGTCAGAAGTGTGCTGTTTTGGGGATCTTCCTCCTTCCCCACCCAGATGTTTGCCCAACCAAAGGCCCCCACCACTCCGGACCCCATTTGGGCCCGGAGCGCTACTCTGTTCTTTTCGCATCCAAAGTTGGATGACGATCGAAAGCGATCGAAAGCTGCCTGGCAGAGGTGCTGTTGCTGGCAGGCGCCGGATCCGCGATCAGCAGCGACTTGAAGAACCTCGGCGCTTCGGCCCCTCGCGACGCGCCGGACCGGGGAACGGAGCGACATGGGCGAGGAGGCGGGTCGAAGTGTGTTTACGGAGGTCAACGTTAGAACAAGGTCGCTCAAGCCGCTGTTCTACGACTGCAAGGTATACTTGTTTTTGTCTTTGGAATGATGGGGTGGAGAACCCCTTCGGCTTGGGGGGAAACGGAAAGGTGGAGATCCCAGAAGCCAGTTTGGGTGGGGGGAAGAGAACACGTGACACACTTACCTTCAAAGACGTTACACGAAGTGGAAAGGGATCCCTTGGAAACGGTCCACTGAATACAGGAGGTTCTTTTCATTTGTACATGTGATGTGTTCGTCAGAGTGTAAATGATGTGAAACTGCACTTGCTGTGGGTGGAGAGAAGAGCCGAGCTTGCTGAAAACCGGCAGAGTTCAACAGAGCTGCACTAATTACTTCAGCATCCATGCTCAAAAAGGCTTGATTTCCAAGGTCATAGCCTCTTCCCAGCCATGGCTAGCCCTTGCCCCGGTCAAACAAGTAGCACTTGGGGCTCCCCCGCGCAAAAGGACACATCGCATCCGCATCGAACATGATTCATGATATTATGATATATTACTTGATCTATTGTAATATCATGAAATGCTTCAGCTCCACTTTGCACCCAGAATCATGCAGAGTTTTTTTTTGTACTATTTTGAGATATGCTTGGTGAACGGATTGAAACGTGGCCTGCTATCCCCACCCGAATTGGAGGTGAGGTGCCGGTGAGACGTTATTCATGGTTGCGACAACCCGATACATGGTCTTGGTAACAACAGTCCAGCAAAAAATCACCACACACAAACTTGTTGCGAAATCACCACCATGAAGGTGTTCACCATTCACTTACATACCTATATAGCGACTAATTATCAAACTTGCAACAGTCTGCAAAAATGCTTGCCTCAGGAGGGTCTAGGTATTTGATATCTCTAAAGCAGCGGCCACAATGGCCATGCGCGCCCATGCGAGTCTCCCGATTCGCAGTCTCTTGACACGCTGAGGCTTCGTGCCCATCTTCGTTGGGCTCCCCGGTGCAATCCGTTGACATATTCACAATCTTCACCTTGCAGCCGAGCCCGTCTGGTCCTAGCCATATCATCGATCAAAACAAAAAAATACAAAAAGTGTTGCAACATCTACAGTATATTGTGGAGCTGACTGGAAACAGTGGAGAGTTCCTCACTGGGCATCAATGATGCGGTGTGAGTATGGCCCATGAACAAATGTGTTGATGCAACAATTTGTTGCTGGCCTCTGAGGGATCCAAAGAAT